GTTGAGGCTGCGGTGGCCGGGAGTGGCCACTGCACTTCAGTCTGGGCGACAGAGTGAGACTCCAACTCAAAAAAACCCCAAAAAACAAAAACAAAAACCACAACAAAAAAGTTGAATATAGACTTATAACAAATACATGGAGTTACTTTTTTCACATAATTGTTTCATCAGATCAACAATGTTAAAGACACAGGTAATTCCAATGTATCCCCCGTGCCAATCTCAGCTTCCTGACCTTCTGGTTGCGAAATGGCCACAATTCTAGGTATGATACAGACATATGAACACGCATCCCGCATTGAAGAAGACCATTTCCTCCGATTTTTGTAGAAAAGAAAACTTAACTAGGAATAGGCAGCAAACCAGATATAGTGAAGTCAGAATAAATTCTGGCCCTTAATTATCCCTCTTTTTTACACATATCAAAAGAAGTTAATTTTCTTCAGAGTGTAGCTTTGTTCACATCCTACACATTTTGACATGCAGTGTTTTCTGTGTCATTTATTCCTAATGGCAATTTGCTTTGACTTCCTTCATAATATAAAAATTATTTATACACATAGCTTTTAAGTTTCCTTGTGGATAAGTGAATTTTGGCTAAGGCTGTGTTATTTTCTAATGATCTGAAACAGGGTCAGGGCTGTAGTTCCGGCTACTTGGAAGGCTGAGGCGGAAGGATCGCCGGAGCCCAGCAGGTCGGTGCTGGGGTAGTGGTGAGATTGCCACTGCACTCCAGCCTGGGCAACGGAGTGAGACTCCAACTCAAAAAACAAACAAACCAACAACAACAACAAAAAAATGTAACTAAGAAATATGGTGCTAGTATTACTAATTTAAAATGAGAAAATTTAGATGTAGTTAAGTGATTTGCCCTAAGCGAAATAAGTAATAATGGCGAGGGCAAATAAGAAGTAAACATTGCTTAAATCCTTTCCCATATTGACTCAGTTCAGGCTAATTTTAGAGAAACAGCTTGCAAATATTTAAAAAGGTTTGAGTGGGATGGAAGAATTTGCTGCGTTTTAAATACTAATGTAGTTTTCCTTAAGTATTATCAGATGAATAATTTGTTAGCTAAAGCAAATTGGTGTCCCACATACATGCCACTTATATTATAAATCCTTTGGTTTCTCTTAAGGGCTAATGACTCTGATGTTGAGAAAGGTCTGAATGGTTAATTCCTCCAACACATTCATTGCCCTTCTCATTATGAATCCCCTGAGGTTGTCTTAGTTCTGAGCCACCAAAAAGGCCTTCCTACTTTCCTTACATTCCTGAAGTTTTCCAATTTTTTATTAATTTAACTCTGATGCCTAATAAATTCTGAAACACAGATAAACCCCTTCCAGTTCCTAACATTTATAAGGCTTCTTATCAGTAAACAAACGTCAAATCAATTTTGGTTTTTAAGTAAAGATCTTTCAGGACTTATATCCACAGTATGGATTCTGATACACAGTGAGTTGTTAGTCTCAAGTGCTTTCCCACGTTCCTTACAATCATCGGTTTGCTTTTTGCAAACTAGTATGAAAGCCCTGATGTCAATCAAATTCGGAGCCTTCCGACATTTCTTCATTCACTCCTCTGTCCCGCATGGGTTCTTTGATGTTGACTAAGGTGTGAGCCACGAATAAAGGCCTTCCCACACTGTTTACATTCATACGGCTTCTCACCAGTATGAATTTTCTGGTGTCGATTAAGTTCTGAGCCACGACCAAAGGCTTTCCCACATTCCTTACACTCATAGGGTTTTTCACCACTATGACTTCTCTGATGGTGAGTAAGTTCTGACCTTCGAATAAAAGCCTTCCCACATTCCTTACATTTGTGGGGTCTCTCACCAGTGTGAACTTTTTGATGCCGAACAAGTTCTGTGCTACACGTAAAAGCCTTCCCACATTCCTTACATTTATAGGGCTTCTCACCTGCATGAGCTCTCTGATGTCGAGTAAGTTCTGAGCCACGGCGGAAGGACTTCCCACATTCCTTACACTTATAGGGTTTCTCACCTGTATGAACACTCTGATGCCGAATAAGATGTGAATCAGAGATAAAGGCTTTCCCACATTCCTTACATTTATGGGGTTTCTCACCAGTATGAATTCTTTGATGCAGACTCAGCTGTGAGGCACAACTATATACTTTTCCACATTCCTTACATTCGTAGCGTCTTTCACCAGTATGAGCTATCTGATGAAGACTAAGCTGCGTGTCATAACGAAAAGCTTTCCCACATTCCTTACATTTATGGGGTTTCTCACCAGTATGGATTCTCTGATGTCGAAAAAGGTGTGAGGGACGGGTAAAGGCTTTCCCACACTCCTTACATTCATAGCATTTCTCATCAGTATGAATTCTCTGATGTAGATTTAGTTGCGCAGTAGATGGAAATGCCTTCCCACACTCCTTACATTTATAGGGTTTCTCACCTATATGTATCTTTTGATGTTGACTAAGTTGTGAGCTAGAATGAAAGGCTTTCCCACATTCTTTACATTTATGAGGTTTCTCTCCAGTATCAATGCTCTGAGATTGAGTAATTCCAGAGTCACATCTAAAGGCACATTTCTTATTTTCATTATGGTTTTTGCTTTTATGAAATCTCTGATGCTTGATCAAGTCTGACTTACTCTTAAAGATTTTCCCACATTCTCCACATTCAGGGTCTTTTCCCTTATTACGAATTTCATGTTGAATAGGGGATGACTGGCCCCTGGAAGTCTTACATTTCTTGCATTCACAGGATTTCTCTCCAGTATGAATTGTCTGATGTCCTCTATGGGCTGTGCACTGAATGGAAGTGGATCTTTCTTCAGAGGTTATTACAGTTTGTCTGAAATGTCCCTCCTGATTGCCCTGTTGTTGCTCTACCTGGCAATTAGTTTTTCTGCTATCTCTGACTCTTTTCTGTTGCAATGATTTAATTTCATAACTGTTCTCCTTTGGAGATAAATTCTTGGTTTCTCTTCCAGTCTCCCATTCTGTAAAATAACGAGAAAAAACAAAAACAAAACCAGGAGGTATTTTCACATTGCAGGAGAAAGAAAAGTTCTAAGGTAGAAATGACAAATTAGAAGTAGTGAATAATTTAAACTTTTAACTACATTGCAATTTGGAAAAAAAGGGAGGGGGAATGAGAATAGAGAAAATGAGGAGAGCTCATAAAAGTGAAAGCAGTGGTTCTTCATTTCTGGTGAGAATCAGAATCACATGGAAAACTTATTCAAAATTCAATGTCTAGAAACCAACCAAGACTAAATAAAAATCTAAAGGAGTAAGAAATTATATCTAACAGCAAAGCATCTCACCTGTAGTAGCAAAATATATATAGATTTTTAATTTCCCTTTCTGCCTATATCTCTACCATCTTGTCCAAAGGCATATCTCACAAAGATTAACACAATACTATCCCAGGTGGGATCTCTGCTTCCACTGTTGTCCTCCTAATATCCCATACCCAACACAGTAGTCAGAGTGTTCTTGTTAAGCTAAGTCAGAGCATGTCATTTTTTCTGCTCAAAATCTTCCAGTGAATCTCCCTCACATTCAGAGGAAAAGTCAAAGTCCTTAACTGATCTATAGGCCTTGCAGGAACTTGTCGTACACTACCTCTTCTGAACTTACTGCCTATCTTCTCCCCTTAGGTGACCATCCTCCAGCTCCCTGACCGACTGGATATTCTTCAAACTTGCTAAGCACATACTTCCTTCAGAATCTCTGCCTACAAATATCTTCCCTAAAATATCATTATGTCTCATCTAATTACTTCACTCTGACTCCGACTCAAATGTCAACTTAAGAGATCACTCTACAGAAAAAAACTGCCATCACTTTACTTACTCTATTTTTCTGCAGTGCGCTTTTCGTCATGTCATCTTATCTATTTTCCCAAAAAATTATTATAAAAAATTTCAAACACACAGAAGAATAAAGAATTGGACAGTGAACCTTTATATTCCCCTACCTAGATTCTATAATAAACATCTGGTTCTATTTGCCTTATCACACATCTATCTATCCAGCAATCCATCTTGCACACATCAGATACTTCACTTTTAAACTCAATGGCATATTATGCTATGCTTTAACTTCTTTACTTTTATACTGTTTGTCTTCCCCTCACTGTGCTTGCATAAAGTAAATACTCAAAAACTATTGCTTAATGAATGGCCACTGGTATGTATGTTAATCTCCTTCAAAGACTCTGAAGCAACTGCAAGTGTGAGACTTACTGCTTAAATAAAATGTCCTTCCCCTGTACTTAAAATAAAATCTAAAATTTCTTACTAGACTAGCAAAACTCTGCATTAAACAACTTCTATATCATGCCAATTACTTTCTCATCTGAAATCCTTCCAATGTTTCATTCCCATGAATGTTCTGTTCCAGAATGCTTCCAGAGAAGCACAGCCAGCTTCTCTCATTCTAAATATCTTAATTTTCTGTCAAGTACCCTATTTTTTGCTCTCATATTTTTGTCAGTCCTGGAACTTATGTGTTCATCAGTTTATCTACTGATAAATTTCTCTCAAAGTGGCCTAGGACTAGCACAATACGTATTTCACACACCATGATATAACTTGTCCCCAACATATAGTTCAATTAATGTTAAATAAAGTAATCACTAGATTAAGGGAATTCAGGTGGAAATACAAGAGAACACACTGAAATAATGAAATTAGGAGAGTGCTTTGAGAATCAGATTAATCACTTTATGCTTTTAATTATGTAATAGGTGATGAACATGTGATCCTGCCTCTGATTCCTTCCAGCTTCAATAGAGATGCTCTCCTACATTACTTCTTACACACATGGCAGCAATGCACAGGCAAGCCAGGATCACTAGAGTAGCTCTGTACATGTCTCTATATCAGTCGCCTAGAATACTGACAGTTTTGTACAAGAAAAACCTTATGTAACTTGGAGTAAATTCTAATAGAAACTAGGATACTATGTGCTAAGTAAGGTCTGTGTGTTTGTATCACCTTAAAATTCTTATGCTGAAACCTAATCACCAATGTGATGATATTAGGAGGCAGTCTTTGGGAGGTAATTAGGTCATGAGGGCAGGACCCTAATAAGTGGGAATAATGCCTTTTTAAAACAAGCCACAGGGAATTGCACTGCCTCTTACACCATGTGGAAACTCAGCTAGAATGCACCATCTATAAACCAGAAAGCTTTACCAGCCATTGAATCTCCTAGTGCCTTGATCTGTGACTTCCCAGCCTCCAGAATTGTGAGAAATAAATTTCTATTTGTAAGTTATCCAGCTTTATGATATTTTATTATAGTAGCCCAAATGGACTGAGACACTATGGCAACCACTTACGAACTGTATAGGGCTGGGAAAAGAACCCAACTCCAGAGTTATGCTGGGATGCAAATTCTAGCCCCATGATTTGCTAGCTGTATGACACTGGACAGTCACTTAACTACTCAGAAATCAAGAAGGATTCTTTGAGATAAGGGAGATCCTTGTTCTCCAAATGCTCTGTGTAAGATATCAGAGCTTTATGCAGGCATCTTGCTGCATAGGTTATTCTCCTTGCTCTGGTTATGGCTCAGAGTGGCTGGACCCGCCCAAAGGAGGCTGCAGAAAAGACAACATCTGGGATGTCTAGAGAGATGAAACTCTGGTACGACTGGTAAGCAGAGAAGATTCTTCTGAACGAATGTATGGTCTGTATCTGGAATCGAATAAAAATGCCACTTACATTGGGGATGCTGTAAAGTTGTCCTTGGGAGAAGGGCTATGCAAGATCTATCTAATACAGGGACTAGTAAAACTAGAGACATATATTGTAGTAGGAAGTTGCTGACATCAGAAGTCAGAGGATCCTGCTATTTCAAATATTTTGGAAAAACAATCTGGTAGAAGAGGAAAACTGTGTAAAAGACATGAACTGACTCATAAATATGGACCTTAAAGGCATGTTCGAATTATAAAAGGCAACACCTATCAAGAATGCTCCTCTTGCTCCCACCCCATACAATCACTCATCAATGCTAAAGAACTATTTCCCTAAATCAATCTCCAGTATGTCTACTCTCTCTACACCATGATCTCATTCTAGCACAAGGCCAAATAATTTGGATCTCTAAATCAGCCTCCTAACTAGTTTCACCTTTTTCACTCATGCAACCCTCTGATTCAATCTCTACAGGTCAGAGGGATGCCTTAATTCAATTCAATCATGCCTTTTTTTTTTTTTTTTTTTGAGTTGGAGTTTCACTCTGTCGCCCAGACTGGAGTACAGTGGCTGCTCCCGGCCACCGCAGCCTCGACCTGCTGGGCTCTGGAGATCCTTCTGCCTCAGCCTTTCAAGTAGCCGGAATTACAGGCATGCGCTACCACGCCCGGCTGATTTTTTGATTTATTGTAGAGAGGAGGTCTCGCTGCCCAGGCGGGTCTCGAACCTGTGGGTTCAGGCGATCCGCTCACCTCAGCCTCCCAAAGGCGCGGGACTACAGGCTGAGCCACCGAGCCTGGCTCAATCATGCCTTTACCGTGTTTAAAACTCTTCAATGAATTCCCTGTGTCCTTGAGAAAAAATTCTAACTCCTAAACTGGTGAAAAGGCCCTGCATGATGTAAAAATCTGTTCAAGTCTTCACGAACACCCAGAACTTTCTCTCTTCAGGGCCGTCAAAGTATAGCTTGTTCTGCCTGGTCTGATATTCCCACCACTCTGCCTGCTTTCTACTACTCATCCTTTTCATCCTCATCTCACTTGGCACAGTCTTACATGTCTTTCCAGTCTCATAATATCACTTCTGTTATTCTTTCACAGCAGTGTTTCACACGTAACCATCTCCCCAAGGACGATATTCACTTATCCAGCCAGAGGACAGGTCAAATATCCAACAAGAATGTCTGCAGGGTTCTTAGTGATTTCAGTCAGGCCTGAAGTCCTCTGATGGCTACTGGTACAACTGGCCGCTTCCCAGATTAATCATCATCACCTTTTATCTTTTCTTCTAATGTTTCTCAGCATCTTTTTTATTCAGTAGAAACAGCACCAAATATAAAGGCTTGCACTGGCTTTATTTCACTAACTATTACAGCACTGTTTAACAAACAGTTTTAAAAATATTTTATAAGAAATATTTAGGCTGGGTTTGGTGGTTCAGCACTTTGGGAGGCCGAGACGAGTGGATTACCTGAGCCTGCGGGTTTGAGACCAGCCTGGACCACTTGGCAAGACCTCGTCTCTACAATAAATCAAAAATTAGCCGGGCATGGTAGCACGTGCCTGTAGTTTCGGCTGTTTGGAAGACTGAGGCAGAAGGCTCACTGGACCCAGCAGGTAGATGCTGGGGTGGCCGTGAGTGTGCCACTGCACTCCAGCCTGGGTGACGAAGTGAGACTCCAACTCAAAAAAAAAAAGAAAGAAAGAAAGAAAGATATATATATTTAAAATGCTGAGGGTTTTGTATCCTACATGTATGTGTTGGTGGTAATCTGAACCTTCACATAATAAAAGTTCATGGTAATAAACACCAAAGACAAACTTTTTTTACAAAAAATAAATTAAAAATAAAAAATGAGTGCATGTGATGAAATGTGAATAAGGTCTATAGTTTAGTTACCATTATCATAGCTGATCTGAATTTCCTGGTTTGGACAACATACTAAGGTTAGGTAAGATGCTACCATTAGAGAAAGCTGGATAAAGGGTAAATGGGAACTCTATTATTTTTGCAACTCCTCGTGAATCTTATATTATTTCAAGACAAAAAACTAAAACAAACAAACAAAAAAACTCCAAACACTAAGAACTCCTGAAATGAGTCACCAATAATGCTAAGAAATTTTAGTATGTTAATTCATTTGCTTGTTTCTCGTCCTAGCCTTTTTCCTTCTTGAAATCCCAGCATTCGAATTTTTGTCCCTATTATCCTACCATGACTACTGTTTGCAGGTCTCAAATAACCTCCATGCAGCCAATTCCAATAGTTAATTAATTCTGTTATTGTCTTACCTATCGGTAGACTCACAAAGTTGTAACTCCTTTTCCTTCTTAAATATATTTATATCTTTAGAGATGGGGTCTTACTCTATTGCCCAGGCTGAAGTACAGTGGCACAATCATAGTTCAATGCAGCCTCATACTCCGGGACTCAAGCAATCCTCCTGCCTCAGCCTCCCAAGGAGTAGGGACTACAGGCATGCACCACCATACCTGTTAGTTTTTAAATTTTTTTTGTAGAGATGAGGTCTTACTATGTTGCCTGGGCTGGTCTTGAATTCCTGGACTCAAGCGATCCTTCCAACTTGGCCTCCCAAAATGCTGGGATTACAGGCATAAGACACCACGCTTGGCTAAATCAACGTTTTCATTAGGGCTCTGGATATCACATTCTTCTGGTTTTCCTCCTAACTCAATGATTATTTCTCCTTCCTCCCCTTTTGTTAGATTGTCTTCCTCCTTGTATCTAAATGGCAAAGTGCTCCACGTGCTGTCTTCTAACATCTTTTCTTCTCTACCTACTTTCCCCTCCCTAGGTAACACCCTATTTTAAGTTCGGCACATGGTAATACAGAACGCTTTCAGACAGCCTTGCCATTAGGTTGGATCATGAGACTTAGTTCTGGCCAACGGGCTCTGAATGAAAATGAGGCAAAGAGCATGCTCTCCCAACTTCCTTCCTCACTCTGGCTGCTTGGAAGGTGACCTTGTGGTGACGCCTCATGCACCCGCCATTCATCACCGCAGCAGATATCTGCCTGATCTAGGGAGAGCTGAGCCACTACAGCACGGACTGTGTACTTACAAACTGCTAAACCAGAGTAAAGCGAAATTTCACGGTACTGGAAATCTGGGTGACTAAACCCAGTATATCTTCACTTATATACTGGCTTCCTGTGGACATTCAACTGATCAAGCCCATTTCCTCTTCAGAACCTCAACACTCCCTCTCTGCTGGATCTTTTGCATAACTTCCTTCCCCTGCTTTTTACAGGTCCCCTGCTCAAATGTCACCTCCTCAGAGGACCATCCTCAACATGATCCTGTATAAAAAAACTGTACTTCATCATGTTCTAGCTTAAAATCTGACCTTTTCTTCAATGTTTTTATTGCTGTCTAAATATTATGTATGTATCTATGTTTTGTCCATCTTTCTCACTAGAATGTGCTGTAATAAGCATCATGAGGCAAGGCCTTTCACTTGTGCACTGTTGAATATGCAATAAGAAATGGTTGAATGATGACTTGTAGACAACTCTAAATGCAAAAGAAAAAAAACACGAGATTGACTTCAGAGTGATGATCCTGGTGAACTCATTCACCCACAAAAATAATAAATATCCTTGGAAAATAACTAAAATAAACCATATCAGAATTCTAAAATTTAACAAAAGCCACAGAATGAACTGAAAGTTTCCATCTAAAGAAATGATGAAACTTTGGTAAGACAGCAGGATCTGTGACATTTATTCCCATTCCCCATCCCTCACCAATTCTCTGGCACGGATGCCAAAAGCCAGCAGACTTGTAGCCAATAGAGAGGCTGGACTTCTTTGGGAGCTCTGTTAAAAGCACCACTCCACCCAGAATTTTGTCCAAATTTGTAGCTCCCTGGAAAATCTATTCACAGCAGTAAAATAGGAATATCACTATGACCTTACAGGAATAAAAAGGGTTTTAGGAAACTACTATGAACAACTGTATGCCAACAAATTAGATAACTTAGACAAAATGGACAAATTCCTAAAAAGATACAAAACTACCAAAACTGTCTCAGAGGAAATAGAACATCTGAATAGACCTATAACAAATAAAGAGACTGAATTAGTAGCCAAAAATCTTCCTAAAAAGAAAAACCCAGGACCAAACAGCTTCACTGCCGAATTCTACCAAACATTTAAAGAAAACATAATACAAATCCTTCACAAACACTCTAAAAGATAAAAGAGAAAAAAAATCTCCCAATAAATTCTGAGGCCAGTATTACCCTTATACCAAAACCAGACAAAGCAAAGACATCACAAGAAAACTATAGACTAATATCCCTTATGGATATAGACATAAAAATCCTCAACAAATAAAACCAAAACAAATTCAGCAACAGAAAGAATTATATACCATAATCAGATGAAATTTATTCCAGAAATGCAAGGCTAGTTTAACATCCAAAAATTTATGTATCAATGTAATATGCCATATTACTATACCAAAGGACATAAACCACAGATGTCTTCATAGATACAGAAGTAACTGAAAAAAGTATTCTGAAACCCTTTTATGCCAAAAACCCTCAACAACTAAGAAGAGAATCTGTATACAAATGTTCACAGCGGCATTATTTATAATAACCTAAAAGTAGAAATAATCCAAATGTCCATCAATTGATGAATGGGTAAACAAAATGGGTATATCTATATCATGGAAACTATTTGACAATATAAAAAATGAGGTATTGGTATATGAGACAGTACGGATGAACCTTGAAATCATTCTACTAAGTGAAAAAAGTCCGTTGCAAATTACATATTGTGTGACTTCATTAACATAAACTGTTGGCTGGGCACAGTGGCTCAAGCCTATAATTCCAGCACTTTGGGAGGCTGACGTGAGAGGATTGCCTGAGCTCAGGGGTTTGCGACCAGCCTGGGCAACTTGGTGAGACCTCATCTCTACAATAAATTCAAAAATTAGCCAGGCGTGGTAGCATGTACCTGTAG